ACCTGTTAACTTAGAATTCTTTAACCAGTAGTAACATCTTTGAAAATGAAGGTAAATGAAGACCTTTGCAGCAAACAAAAATTGAGAGAATTAGTTGCAAGCAGACCTGCACAATAACAAATGTTAAAGGGGAAAGACATTAACAAAATGACAAACTAGGAAGTTCCAAGCTCTTGTTCCCCTGAGTAACATTTTAAAAAACAACCAGAAGCTGTCTGAACCAACTTTGTAGGAGCTCTGAAAAACAATCAAAGTTTACAGCAACCAAACAAACACCCAATCAAGAAAAAGCCATCAAAAAAAGCCAAAAAAAGAGAAAAAGGAGTGGAGAAGTTTCTGGGCATTTTTATTCATCCTTTACTCCATCCCCTTCCAGGGTACGGCAGTACTGTTGGTCTTGAGCAGTGTAAGCCAAGTTCCCAGTTCCCTTCCTGAAACTGGAGGGAGCATAATCTTATTTGCAAATTATTGTGTATGTCTGTTCTAACCTAGCTATGGGATACCTGAAGGACAGACATGCTTGTCTCCCTCTCACATAACTTGGAATGTAGACAGGAAAAGCAGTGAAAACTGGTCATAAAAGCTACAAGGGGACTACAAACACACAGATAAACTGGGTCAAGAGATTCAGGGAGAAGATATGCAATAGATCATCTAAGGTCCAAAGGAACTAGTTTTCTGTTTGTAAATTCAGTCTCAACTTGTTATAAGCCTATTCAGATTGTTTGTTTCTTCTTGAGTCAGTTGTGGTAGTTTGCCTCTTTGAGGGATTTATATATTTCATACAAGTTATCCAACTTGTTGGCATACAAATGTTCATAGTATTTTCTTATAATCCTTTTTATCTCTATAAAATCAGTAGTAATATACTGCTTCCATTTCTGATTTTCTTAATTTAAGTCTTTTTTTCTTAGCAGTCTAGCTAATGGTTTGTTAATTTTGTTGATCTTTTCAAAGAACCAACTTTTCATTTCATTGACATTCTCTATTGTCTTTTTATTCTCTGTTTTATTTACTTCTATTCTAATCTTTATTATTTCCTTTCTTCTACTTTAGCTTTGGGTTTAGTTTGCTCTTTTTATTCTAATTCCTTAAGGTATAAAGTTAAGTTGTTAATTTGAGATCTTTCTCTTTTTTAATGTAAATGCTTATAGCCACATATTTATCTCTTAGCACTGATTTTTCTACACCCCATAAGTTTTGGCATGCTATGTTTTCATTTGTCTCCAGGTATTTTCTAATTTCCCTTATAATTTCTTCTATGGTTAAGACTTTTTATTTATACAAGATGATAGGTAGAAAAAGAATTTTTTGTTTAATTTCTACATATTTGTGAGTTTTTCAGTTTTCTTCTGTTACTGATTTCTAGCTTTATTCCACTGTAGAAGAATAAACTCAGTATGAGTAGAAGTTGTTAGATCAATTAAGAATCATGTTTAGCCATGAGTAACAAAAACTTAGAAACAGTGGCTTAAGTAATGATACTGTGGTTTCATGATGTCATCAGGGACCCAGGTTCCCTTTGTTTTGGGACAGTGATCCTCAGCATGTGCATGTTATTGTGAGGTAACGCCAGGTGAACTCTGTATCTCCAGGCATCACAATATATCCCAGGTAGAAAGAAGGGAAAGGATGAGGTCAATTAAATATCTCTTGGCTAAGTCTGCTTCTGTTTTAAGATACTCTCTCAGAAGCTTCTCCCAGCAACTTCCAAATATATCTTGTTGGCCAGAATCTTGTCACATGGCCACTCCTGTCTGCAAAGGAAGCTGGAAGATGTAGCTCTTTTAACTGGGGACATTTCTGCTCCCTTAAAAATAGAGGTTCTTGAAAGAACATATTTTGGGAAAGCAAATAGCAGTCTCTGTCACAGAGAGCAAGAGACTACTTAGGATACTATTGCTTGGGGAGATGACAGTGGCTTATTCTATAGTGGTAGTGGGGTTGATGGTAGTGATTGAATATATGATATATTTTGCAGGTAGCAGCCACAGGACTTAATGCTGGATTAGTTATAGAAAGGAGAAGGAAGAAACGAATAAAGGATTACTCAGGTTTCTGGCCTAACAATTCAGTAGCTGGCAGCACCATCAACTGAGATGAGGAGAAATAGAGAAACACCGAGGATTTATTTTTTAGGGGGCACGGGGTGACGACAATCTAGGATTATGTTTGTATAAATTAAATTTGAGGTGATTATTATGCAGCTGAGTGGAAATAAATATCCTCTTGAATAAGGATACTATTTAGAACCTTGTCCAAGAGTCACCCTCCCCCTGCATTCCTCAGAAATATTTCTATTTACTCTGTAGTTAGTTCTGTTTGTTTTTATTGATTCTTCACTTACATGCATCGATTTTCCTCATATGTCTGGTGAACTTTGTTCATTTTATGTTTGTAAATGTATGTTGTATGTTGATTGTGTAGATGTGCTCTGTGTAAGCACCAGTTTTCCCTGGAGGGTGTGTGGGCATGGCAGAGGGCAGGAAGGATGGCGGGGGACCTTACATTTCCAAAGAACCAGTGTGTTTCTTTCCTGCATGGAACTTCCTTCCCTCTCTTTCTATCCTCCTTCCATTGTCTGATGTGGAAGTGTGAGTTTCAGCAAGCTCTACACTGCTTCTCTGTCAAGGCCCAAAACTCATTTGAGATCTCTACGGAGGCAGATGCCAGGTGTTCCTTAGAGAACGGTTATTTGGTGTTTGGTGAGTGACCGGGGAGAGACACTTCTGGCAGTGGTATATGCCCCCCATGCACAGAGAAAGAGAGTGGTGACGAAGAAGGGCTCAAGTGATCCAGCTCTTCCAAACGCAGCTCTTTTAACTAATAACTATGAAAATTACCTCACGATAAGATTCTCTTTGTATATGCTGACTTTGAATTTATTGCTCCTCAGGCCCACCTGATTTCTGATGTTTAAAGCCGGTTTTTCTTATTGGGTTTTCCCATTAAGTCAATTCTATCTACTTTCATAGTTTCTGAATTTTCTCAAACTTTTCTAGATCCTGGTGTCTCACTTTACTGATTTCCAGTCTTGCCATGAGCTCTTCCTTTTTGAAATAATATTTTCTGTTAATATACTAGAACCTTGGGATATGGGAGAGTAGACCCACACATGTGGTTACTGTCCTGAAGCTCCCGTATTGGTGTGTTCTGTTGTCTTTTCCTAGCTTTCTAAGGTGAATACTTAGAGCATTCCCCCGATATAACTTTACTGAAGTTTTTTATTTACAAAAGTTATTATATGGTTATCTAATCAATAATACAGAGAATGAAAATTAATAGTGCCCTCCTTCCTCTCCTTCATAGGTACTCTCTTGAGAAAATAATTTAGCATTTTGAATCCACTCACAGATTTTTCCATGCTTATATTAGGGGACAGTCTTTGTTTTGTTTTTTACAAAAATGAAATCATGTTCTTCTACTATTGGTTCTCCTACTTCTTTATCATATATATTTCATTTATTTTTATTTTTTTCTATTAAATTTCTTTAAAGTAATGAAGTTTCAATGTTAGAATTGAAACTATTTTTAAGGGAGATTTTGGGAAATGCAAGCAAAGAAAAATAAAATGAACACAATATGTGTGGAAGTACAGGATATATTTCAAGAATTCAGACACATTTGGTTGGAGGATAGAACTATACTGGGGAATGTTAAGAAACTTGCAGAAATAATTTAGTCAGTATGTGAGGACAATGAATAACAGCAAAAGTAGGAAGCCGTTGAAGATTTAAGAATTAGGGTCCTGTTATTAACTGCCTAATAATAATGAAACCTTGAAACAATCCAAAAGTGTCTGTTTTAAAAATATAACTCATCGAATCATTATTCGATGATTAACCTGATATACAATGAACCCTCTACAGACTAAAGGACATAATGTATAGGAAAGTGGTTTGAAGTACTGAATGTTCTATAAAGAGATGGTGTTGAGTTTTCTGGGTATGAGCTGTTAGTGTGGATGCACATTATGATGCTTCTAAAGCAACTCAGTCTCTCTCATTGCTGTCTGGATTGTGTGGTGGAGGAAGTATCTGATGAAAACTTAGGATACCTAGGATTTAGGCTACTCATCTTCTGGGTTACCTGGAGCAAGGAACTTTAGCTTCAGATTCTTGTGTAAATTAAGAACTAGTGCTAGATTATCTCTAAACGTGCCTTCATGTCTAACACTTCAATGGTTCTGAGATTCTATAATTGTTCCTAAAATATATACCTTGATTTAGCACCAGTTTATTTTTAGGCTTTTTTTTTTTTTTTTTTTTGAAACAGAGTCTTGCTTTGTCACCCAGGCTAGAGTTCAGTGGCATCATCATAGCTCACTGCAACCTCTAACTCCTGGGCTCAAGTGATCCTCCTGCCTCGGTTTCCCAAGTAGCTGGGACTACAGGCATGTACCACCACACCCAGCTAATTTTTCTATGTTTTGTAGAGATGGGGTCTCACTCTCACTGAGGGTGGTCTTGAACTCCTCGCCTCAAGCGATCCTCCCACCTTGACTTCCCAAAGTGCTAGGATTACAGGCATGAGCCACGGCACCCTACCAGGCAGTTTTAAGTATTCATTTAACAATGACAGGTTCACAATCATTGAAAATGCTATTTGAGTATAACATCAGCTGCCATTTATTATCTAAATGCATTTTACAACCTTTTGAAGTCAGATTACATTGGTTCTGACAATTCTATTTCATTTCTATTTTTATTTCTGCTTGAAGTTGCTGTGCATTATTTTGACTTTACAAATTCAACAGAGTGAATATTAAAATACCAAGAAAGCTAACATATATATATATATATATATATATATATATATATATACACACACACACACACATATTTGTTTGATAACTGGCAAAGTATAATAGTTATGAGAAAAATATTTATTTAGGTTTTAAATTTTTTTACATGTTTAATAACTATTGAAAGAATAAAACGATCTTAGGAAATATCCTTGCATTATAAGTAGTCTAAAATTAAAACTTCTTTTTTTATAAGGTGGCTTATTCACCAAAAGAACACAATTTACCAATTATCAGACCAGAAAATATAGAATTGAAGCCAAACTTTCAGGTGAGTCCTGAGTTATCCTACCCCAATATCAGTTATATTTGATTACAAGGTTTATTCAGTACTTCATGTAATTCAACAGTTCCAAAACTAGGCTACTCATTAGAAACAAGTGGCTATCAAACAAATAAAAAATACATGTTTCTAGGTCCACTTCCAACCTAATGAATCTCAACCTAGAAGCGGAAGGTGGGAATCTGTATTTCTCAAACAAAAAACCCAGAAGATTCTTAATCTGTCCCCTGGGTATCCACTAGAATTTAAAAACCAGTTATAATCCATTGTATCCATTGAAATGAACTTTGAACTACTAAGTTGAAATAAAAGAAAACAAATATTGGGCTGATTTGTCCACATTTTTCTTTTTTCAGTTGGATAATCAGAAGTTCTATGAATAAAGGGTTTGATAAGAAACTTCATTTTGAAGGCTGATTCAATGATAGAATAGCCTGACCCCAAAGCTACAAAACTGCCCATGGATATTACACTGAAATTTCATTGTAATCCAAGTTTTTAATACTGTTCTCTCTCCATTAACCATTCCTGATGCATTAAATAGTGTGCATCAAAAAGCAGGATTCTACTGTGACATGTTAAGTCCTGGGTGGAGCTCATCACCATTGTTGAAACTTTCAGACTTAAAGGCAGATGATATATGCCCCTAAGTCAGAGTTTAGAGAATATTTATGATACTTTTCATGGGATATATACTGCTTGCCTGCTATTTAAAAAAAAAAAAAATTTACATTGCTACTAAAACGGTAAATATTTATAAGGATAAGTTGTGAAAGGTAGGAGCATAAATAGATAAATTGACAGATTGCTCAAAGAAAATTAACTAGACAATTTATTATAAATTCAAAATCAATGCTACACGGTATCTTACCTTTTCTTTAATATTGCAGTTTCAGAAAATCTGCAAGGACGGTTTTGATCCTTTTCTAAGGAAGATAAACAAAAAAATGTCAGTCAGAAAAAGGAAAGACCAAGATACATACAAATGTGGAAACATTTTAAGTGCAGAGGTTATAGAGCATGAAGACCAAGATCCTCCTTATCCAGCACATTCAGAAACTGCAGTACCTACTAGCTTCACAATAAAGACTTCAGACAGTGAAAATCAGTTAGCCAATGATCCTCCTATCATCGCAATAAACCCTGAATGTTTTAGGGATACATTAAAAGTAAACCAACCAAATGGATCTTTATCAAACCCATCAGCGACTGGAAGTGCAAGTAGATGGTCCTTTGCAAAGTCAGTAACTGTTAACTCCCATATAGAAAATTTAAAACAATCAATGCTACTCAAGACAATTTTAGGTAAAAATCTGCAAGACCTTTCAGACAAATTATTTTGTAAACCAGAAGTTGATATGAACACTGAAGCAAAAAAGAAAAATAGTTCTCCACTTTTAAGCATTCATGATAAACCATCAAGTAGTATGGAAGACAAAGCATTGGAAAAAAATCAAGATTTAAACAGCTGCTTTTCAGAAAAAGATATTTCAAATTCAAAGCCTGTTGTATGTAAAATGATTAAAAATCTTTCTGCAGATTCACTTTCAGAAGGTGGACCAGGAAAATCTCTAGAAGTAAAAGAATGCATCTCTAAAAAACACTTAGAGGCTAGTAAGATAGATTTTCCAATGAAAAAAAAGAGTAGTTTCAAAAAGAAACATTTAATAAGTGAAGTATGTAGATCCAAATCAGATTTAAGTGGCAATGTATATGACTATGCTATAAAACAAATATTCACTGCACCAAACTTCTCAAAATTGGAGATAGGAATGAAAGAGCCAGGAGAAATACAGATGAACTTGCAGGATCAATTATTCAAACCTTGGGAGAGAAGTTTATCTTCACATATTCTAGTTTCCTGTGAAAACAATGATGATGAAATAGAATTGCCAAAGGCGAAATCTGTTGTAAGCCAGATAATACAAGCATTTCCTCTAGACACTCTTTTACAATCTGGGATAATCAAAGTGGTAGAGTTAGATAAAGAACACCAAAGGAATTCTATGCTGAATTCAAAATTAGCCTGTCATGAAGAAAAGCTAAAGGATTCTACACAGGATTATTCAGAAATCAAAAGCAAAATAGAACTTCTTTCAGAGCAGAATATACCCGTCATTTCCAAAGGTAACATTTCTTCCGTTAGTAGAGTTAAACTTCTAGAGGAAAGCCAAAATATGCTCCCACATGATTCAAGATACCATTCAACATCATATCAAGAAACAGATTTGCCAAGTCATGGTCAGTGGCTTGATAGAGAAGAAAATGATCTATGTTCTACTTTAGAAAATTTAGCTGAATCATTAATGGGTAAACTTAGTGAGTCAGATGAAATAATGTTAAAATCCTTTTTAAAAAATATCTTTAATGCTTTTTTTCAATATAATCAGTCTGAAAGAAGAAAACAACCAGAAAAAGAATTAGAATGTCTAATTCAACATTCTTTTGCAAATGATACAGAAGATCTTGAAGAAATCCAAGGGAGTTTTGATAAAACAGACAAATTAGACAGAAAACCTATTTTGAGTCCAAAGCTGCGTGTGTTTCTAGAAGAACTCTCAGAGACAGAAGTAAAAAATTTAAAGTCTGAGTTAAGTAAACAAATTCAGCATTACCTTGTAGAAAGACTTTCAGAATCAGGACATATCACTAGGGAGGACTTACCAAAAATCTATCAAAATTTGTATTTGATGAATGAAAAAGCAGAACTGAAAGGACAAAACGTTTTTCAGGAGAAATATTCAGAAACTGTAGAAGAAATCATGTCTTTTTTAAATGATTTTAATCATCATTTCATAGATAAACATTTAGAAATAAAGCTAAGATCTTTTTTAAGTGAAATTCTCCAAAATTATTTTCTAAAAAACCTTTCAGAAAGCAGTTTGTTTAGTGAGACAGAATCTGAGAGTATACACTCAAACCTATCTTCTCTAAGAACTAAAAGTGCCTCAGTATCTTTTCATGAGTTAGGACAAGATATTTCAAAGGGGAGCTTTGGTAGAAGGCTTGAAATAAATATGAAATATCCCTTAACTAAATCTCTACAAAACTATCTGATAGCTTTATCAGAAAATGAATTATTAAATCTAAAAGACAATTTAAGTAAACGCCTCCAGAGCCTTTTGATAGAAAAACTTTCAGAATCAGGATTAATGACAGAAAGGCAATTAGAGGGGATCAATCAGCATATAAATTGTGTTAATTCTAGTTCCACACAATTAAAATATATAAAGACAGATTTACCTTTTAGAGATGAAAATCATTTTATAGATGAGCATTCAGGAAAGCAAAATAAATATCCAAAAATTGCTCAAGAAACCACTTTACTAAAGGTTCCTGATAATAAACTTAGAGAAACAGAATTGATCAGAGAGGAAGAAAAAGAATGTTTTTCCTCGTACAATTTAAAAGAAATTTCATCAGTAATTAAGGAACGGAAAAGTTATTACCCTAAAGAAGAAACTAAAACAGTAAGTTTCACAGAATTACAACCTCTTTCCAACAAAAATATCCAGGCAATTCTATTAAATAAATCATCAGAAAGACTTACAGATATATCGCTTAAGAAACAAAGGAAAGAACATGGTATTGTGCATCTCCCTCAAGCAGAAAATTCTATTAGTAAAACAGAGATTCAAGACCCATATAATTGGGGTAGTAAATCAAAAACAACTCAATCAAAAGTTGGCTTTGAAAGGACACTGAAAATGACACCACTTGAAAAAAAGGATCATATTAACATCTGTAAGTTGACTGGTCAGGAAAAACCTGAAGCAGTATTGTCATCATATCCAGGAATTCCTAATTACAAAATGCCAAGGGAAGATGAAGAATACTTAAACAGAATCACTTTCCCTTCTTGGCAGACTAACACTTTAACTCATTTCAATTCAGAGACTAGGGAGCAATCAAAACTAGAAGACCAGTATTGTCAGAGATGGAAAGGAAATAACAACAACAATAAAAAACATTTAGTAACATTTGCACAATACAAAAAAGAAATACAAACTCATGATATAAAAGCAAATGAAATTTACAATGAAAAATATGCCAAGTTCCCTGAATCACAATTGTTCAAATATAAAGTTGTAGCAGATGAGAAAAACTCAAAAACATCCCTCCTCCCAGAAGTATTGAAGAGAGAAAATCTGAAACCCAAGGTCAGAAAAGAAAGAGACTATGCTGCCAGACCAAAGAGATCATTTAACAAGATAGCTAAGATACTACCAACTACACCGCCTGAGACGAGAATTCAACTAAGGAAATCTGTTCCAAAGACATTGCTTCACTGGACTGCAAGAAAAACTATACATGTAATAATGTTTTTCTAAATGTTCTACTTCTGTATTTGGCAACGTTCCGTAAAGAATTTACTTTAGGGTATATATGTCTCCATGCGAGTGGGTGTGTAACTTTAATTACCCCCAAGAAATACAGACCTCCAAATTTAAAAATTCTCCTGAAACTTAAATATCACTTCATCTGATTTAAAATACAATCATGAAATGGGGGTGGAGAGGAGAATGTTAACATACTTAGTACTGTTTTATGAAATAAATAAAGGGCACTTTCTTTGGGGAATGAATTACAAAAAGGCACCCTTTCCTCTGACACAGCGTTGAGCCAGAGCAAACATCCCTGTCTATGGTAAAATGGCTGGATTTTAGCCCTCTCTATAAAATTAGCCAGAGGCTATTGTAAGACACAACCAGGTACAACCACTGGCAGTGTCCATATTCTATAGAAACATAACTGGGATTTTCTTTTCACCGAGATATAACTATAAATATATAGGTGTTTTTCACATAGCTGAATTATCTTTGTTTCAGTAAATGAATATGAAGCTATTCCTATGTGCCAGTTATTCTGCTAAAAATTAGGGATATGCAAAATTTGTAATCTTTGGGATTATGAATTTCACAATTTTAATTTAACCTCTTAGTCTTTTCTTCTTTCACCACCACTCCTCTGCTATATCATGTGCTGAGAAACTTGGGAATTGAAATTTATTTTTAATATTAACATAAAACAATTAGAAAGGTAAATATGCTGCTAGGCTTTTATACAAAGCATTCTAAAGCAAAGTTAAAACTAGGAATGGAAGAGACTTACTATTTTTTGAACTACTGGTCTTCTTTATTAGTATGCATAATAGGCATGACCTATAGTGAGAAAACTCATGAGTTCTAAAACTGATATTAAATTGATAATTTGATGTTGTATAATTCTACCTTTATATGGGAAGATAAATCTAATTTCAGAATAGTTGCTTTCAATTTGTTTTCCACAGTAAAACAAATTATTGGCTTTATAGTGGCAGGATAAATATTATATAACTATACATTATATATACTATATATTATATAGATAAATATTATATTAGCTATATAGTGGCAGGGTATAAATATCAGTATAGCTTATACTCTCAATTTAGGTGTTTTCTGAATTCAGTAATTTAGTATTGAGCAACTGTGTGTATGCATGCTTGTATGTGTATACACTAGGAAAAAAGAGTAGAAGATGGGTTCATAGTTTTTAGAACTTTCTAAAGTTCATTTAGACAAATGGAATCTTTAACATTGCTTTTCAAAAAAAGCAAAATGAGTATCCATTTATTTAAATAAATCATATCATCTAACATAAACACAAGAAAATTTTGTTTATGAATCTTAGAAAACAAGCCCAAGAAATTGTGTTTAGGTTAAATGGTAAAAGATCATATAGGATTCAGAACTCTTATCCCAAAAATGGGCAAGAGAGACAGAGTTCTCCTTATTTCCCTCTGTTAACCAACTGTTACTAAAGTTTTCTCTCTAATATTGACAGTGAATTGAGTGGTAAGAGGGTGTTTGTCAAATGATCAGAAAGACTTACTCATCTGATTTTCTAAAATCCAGAAATCTCCCAAAGGAATCAAAACAGAAAAGAGAGAAATTGAGTTGTAGGAGCACCCAGAAAAGTAACCAGTGGTGTGGGTCTCCATGCCCTTCTATTGGCACTCCAGTAATCACTTATATCAACTGTGAAGCAAAAATTATATATTACTCACTAGCATAGCAGAAATTCTCTTAATTTGGCTTATCTATTTGCTCCATGTACATAAGAGAGAAAAATAATATTTCCTTGCCTTCTCCACACCCAAGCAAAAATATAAAATAGGTAGAATTTGTCCTTAGACTCTTTATACCTTCTTTTTGGGAAATATTTTTCTGGCTGCCCTAATTATTAGTCCTGCCCAGTGTTCCCTGACCACCACCCCCCATTATATTAATCCACTCCCATCTTATCTCAAAATCAAAGCAGCCCATTCCCTTGATGTGGCTATCTTTGCAAAGTGTTAAGGGATAAACTGCTCAAACTTCTGATGAAACTAGTTTATTCTAATTTGAGGATGGCTAATAGATCTATACCCTTTTAGGGGTACTTGTAGATTATTATATTTATAAAATATAGTCATATAGAAAATTTGAAAAAAACATTTTTTATCATTTTAGTGTATATATTTTCAATTCGTTTTTTAAAATGTTTTACTGGTTTATTCTTGGTGTGCACATGAAAATTTGTATTATTTTTAATGTAAACATGACAACCATATTCTTGGATGCTGCACACACTCCCCTCTATATATATGAAAATATTTATTAAATTTAAAAAACTATTTTTGAGACAGAGTCTCACTCTGTCACTTGGGCTAGAGAGTAGTGGCATCAGCCTAGCTCACAGCAACCTCAAACTCCTGGCTCAAGCAATCCTCTGCCTCAGCCTCCCAAGTAGTTGGGACTACAGGCACCCACCCACCACTAATTTTTCTATTTTTAGTAGAGATGGGGTCTCGCTGTTGTTCAGGCTGGTCTTGAACTCCTTAGCTGAAGTGATCCTCCTGCCTTGACCTATAAGAGTGCTAGGATTATAGGCGTGAGCCACCGTATCCAGCCTATATTTATAAAATTAATTTTTAAAGAATGAAAGATCAAAGTCTGGGTGATATAAAAAGTAAAATATAAGAGTTCATAATTTATATTTGGGGTTAGGGGAGAGAGATTTTGGTTGAGAGGAATTACTAAGTAGATTGGCCAGCTTTTGGTAGGAGTCTGACCCCTAAGGACAGCTCCCTTAAATTTTTCTGGTTTTCAGCTCCATAGCTTCCCCATCTCTTTTGAAATAACATACTTTGAGACAGTAAGACTTTTTAAAAGCATGGTTTTTAAGGAAGTATCTAGGGGGGGCATTAGGTGTAGAGTCTGAATTTGGGGACTGCCTAAGAGATATTTGTTGCTTTCATTCTTTAACTGTTGCTATTACAAATTTTAGTCCTTATAAATTTAAAATCGACTTCTAAGAAACCTAACTTACCAATCTGATCTTTTAATATTTAGGATTGTTCAGATAAATTCGAGGATTTAAATGGGACTTCATTTAATCATCTTAAAAAAGTAAAATCAAGAACAAGGCTTTTAAGAAAGAGCCCAGATGATAGCCATAATCATACAAGACGCTGTGCAAGACCATATACTGCACCGGAGGTTAACAAACGACAAGAAAACTGCACTGGAAAATTTTCAAGTCCTCGAATGGTTTCGGCAGGCTTAGTTCATATAAATTATACAACTCCAGATTATGAAATGCGTAAAATGCAGCCAAAAAAAAGATTAAAACAGGATATTGAAAAATGTTGGCTCATTTGTGATATTATCCAAATGTTAAACAGGTCAGACTGATATGTGAGGCCAACCATCAGAATATCATTTCACCATCAACAAAATGGTTTGGAGATCTCTCTTTTTGTGTGATAGAAATCAGCAACCAAACTTCATCTTGTTAGAACCATTTTGTTTTGATTAAAATGAAAAATAAACACACTTGATGTAAATGTGTTTTTGTTTATGAACCCTAGAGAACAAGCCCAGAAATACATATTCAGCATATTCAGTTTATATTCGTTAGCAAAGTTTTGTTTCTCAGCTTTTACCTTTTTCACTATATCACTCCAATTCATATTTCTCTGGCTTCTCCAACCTTTGTCACACTCTGAATTATCCCTGTCTACCCAGTCTCCAGGTTCTCTATTTGTAGTTACCTATGTTTAGTGTTTTTGTTTTTGTTTTCTTTTTAGAGACAGGGTCTCGCTCTGTCATCCAGACTAGAGTGCAATGGTGTGTCCGAAGCTCACTGTAGCCTCAAACTCCTAGGCTCAATTGATCCTCTTGCCTTGGCCTCCCAGAGCTCTGGGATTACAGATGTCAGCCATGGAACCTGGCCTATTCAGTCTTTTGTTATGAATATATTTCTACTCTTCAGCTCTAATTATATTTCTAGATTTAGCAGTCTGCAATCCCTTAGGCCTTATGGAGCTTTTATTAATTTAACATCATCTGCTATTGCATCTTTTTACACAATAATAATAAAGAACCTATTTAACATTAATTACTGAAGCATCTCCTACACTGTAGTGACTTTCTAAATTACTCAAAAAAACTGTGAAACAGGTTTCTTTAACCACTTCGGTACAGCGCTCACTGACCGCGAAACCTTGCCCACAGCCGGCACTCATAGTCCGCACGATAGTTTGTGCTGTGCGTTGACGATGAATCCGTTTTGCTCTTGTGTGATGAGGAAAGCTTTGAAGCACTGAAAGCTTGTTTTACTTTGCAGGCAGCTTTACTTGTAATATAAATAAGAATGGGTAACATATACATACATGTTTTCATTACGTTAATTTTAAATGTTCACAATTTTATTTATTTTTTAAATTTTTTTATTTCGGCATATTATGGGGGTACAGATTTTAAGGTTTCAATAAATGCCCTTTCCCACGATTTTATTTTGATAAATGAAAAATGAGAAAAGTCATATCACGGCTGCCAGCTAAAGTCGACACTTGGTTCATCTGTGGCTGTCCACTATAGACGATGCTTGGCTGTGCGCAACTATAAGTCGATGCTGATACTGAAGTAGTTAATAACACCAAACTCAGGCAACTGCATAAAACTATAGAAATTGCATAAAATATAATCTAGCTAGCTAAATCAACATAGGATTTAAACTAGAGACTTCTGAGAATTGGTTCTATTTATATGAAGTACAGTATTTGGTTCTTAAATCCTTTTTCCTCATTAAATTTTTAATGGCAATATTGTGACAAAGAATTAAAAATTTCCTATCATGGAAATCTCTCAAATTTTCTTTCCAAAAGTCTTTTTTAACTCAAAAGTATAACTTTGTATACTTCAAAGAAGAATTCTTTATTAAACATCTACAATATGCTAGATACTTTTGCTAAACATTAGGAATGTACTTAGTGAATAAAACAATATTCTCAGAGTACACAATCTATAACACAGAAGTAATTAGAATTGTGTAAGTGCTGTTTAGGGAGTACTATAGAAGCTCAGAGGAAGGCATTTTTAACTAAAGTGACTGTGCTAGTTTGAGTCCTTCAAAAAGTAGACACCAAAATGAGATTAGACATGTAGTTAGAATGGTCCCCAAATGTGTCCACATCCTAATCCCAGGAACCAGTGAATGTTACCTTATGTGGTGAAGTCTTTTGCAACTGTGATTGAATTAAGGATCTTGAGGTAAGGAGATTATTCTGGGTTATCTGGATGGGCATAATATAATCACAAGGGTCGGAGTCAGAGAAGGAGACATGACCAGGAGACAGAGAAGCAGAAGTTAGAATAATGCTTTGCCAAGAGGCGCAGGAAGGCATGAAGCCTCTAAAATCGGGAAATCAGATTCTCCCCTACATTCTCCAGAAGGAACATAGCCCTGCCAACCCATTTTAAACTTCTGACCTCCAGAACCACAAGATAATAAATTTATGTTGTTTTAAGCCACTAGATTTGTGGTAATTTGTTTCAGCAGTGATAGGAAATTAATACTACATGCAAAAGATTTGGGGAGGAGAAAATACTGTGAGGGAAAATGGGAAGGGAGTTGGAGATGGCTTGGAGAGCTGTCAACCATGATGTAGGGCTGACCACTGTGGAAAAGAAGGAGGGAAAAAAGGTGAATAGGAGATGTCTTAGACCGCTATGCCATGCTAAGTAAATTACAGCAGGGCTGATGGGGAGTGCTCCATTCAAAGCCATTAATCACAAAAGGCCATTGTCTCCCAGAAATGGGCCTGCCTTGCTGTCCCTGTTGCCAAGGGTAGGGGGTAGGACAAGGGTGAGGTAGGTATGGTAGACAGAATAACGTCCCCACTTCTCCTAAAGATGCCTACATCTTATGCCCCAGAACCTGTGAAAAGGTTAGGTTACATGGCTAAGGGGAATTAAGGTTGCTATCCACTGACTACAGATGGGAAGATTACCCTGGCTTATCTGGCTGTGCCTGATGTAATCACAAGGCTCTGTGAAAAGTAGAAGAGTAGAAGAGGAAATTGGAAGAGAGAACCAGAGAAATGGCAGTGTGAGGACTCAGTCCAATTATTGTTGACTTTGAAGGTGGACAAAGAGGGTCATGAGCCAAGGAGCATGAATAGCCCCTAACAGCTAGGGAGGCCAGGGAAACGGATTCCCCTCTAGAGCTTCCAAAAGGAAAACCCCTGCCAACACTTTGATTTTAGCCGAGACCCATTTTGATTGTCTGAAGTAGAAATGTAAAATAATAAATTTGTGTTAAGCCACTAAGTTTGTGGCAATTTGTTACAGCAGCTATGGAAAACTAGCATGGCGAGCAGGGTGCCTAAGGCACAAAATTTAAGAAGGCACTCCCTCAAAGGGTGAGGCTATCAGTCAATTACAATACCCACCGTGGAGGTTAATTTTATGTCAACTGTACTGGGCCACAGGGTACCCAGATACTTGGTCAAACATTACTCTCAGTGTTTCTGTGAGGGTGTTTCTGGATGAGACTAACATGTAAATCGGTAGGCTGAATAAAGCAGATTGCCCTCCCTAATGTGGGTGGACCTCATCTGATCAGTTGAAGACATGAAAAGAATAAAAAATGCTAAACTTCCCCCTAGGTAAGACAGAATTCCTGGCCGGGCGCGGTGGCTCACGCCTGTAATCCTAGCATTCTGGGAGGCCGAGGCGGGTGGATCACTCGAGATCAGGAGTTTGAAACCAGCCTGAGCAAAAGCGAGACCCTGTCTCTACTATAAATAGAAAGAAATTGATTGGCCAACTAATATATAGAGAAAAAATTAGCCGGGCATGGTGGCGCATGCCTGTAGTCCCAGCTACTTAGGAGGCTGAGGCAGCAGGATTGCTTGAGCACAGGAGTTTGAGGTTGCTGTGAGCTAGGCTGACGCCATGGCACTCACTCTAGCCTGAGCAACAAAGTGAGACTCTGTTTCAAAAAAAAAAAAAAGACAGAATTCTTCCTGCCTACCTTTGCACTGGGACACTGGCTTTTCCCTGCCTTTTGACTCAAAGTGAAACAGACTTTTTCTGGATGTTGAGCCTGATAGCCAGTGGACTACAACTACACTATCAGCTCTCCTGGGTCTTTAGCTTGTTGACTCATCTGGCAGATCTTCGGACTTATCGGCCTCCAGAATTGTATGAGCCAATTCCTTATAATAAATATGTTCATATTATATTAATATATGCACATGCACATACATTATATTGGTTGTTTCTCTGGAGTACCCTAATACACCCACAGTAGGAAATCTGAGAAGCACCATTTCCTGGTCTCCATGGTCCACCTTTTGCACCACACATATTCAGGAGAACCTCTAAGGTCCCTATGGAGCTTGCTCGCTGAGGGGAAATTCAGAAGGGGGAAGTGAGTGGGATGAACACAGCCCCCACCACTGCACCTGCTCTCAGGGCCTCAATTAGGCCTCATCCTCTTCCCTCCTCCACTGTCCATTCTAAATTCTTTCACCTTCAGCTTTCATCTTGGTGGGTCTTGGTGCCTTAACAGCTGGAGTAACCCAAACATTCATTCTTGAGGGGGTCTAGCCAGTAAAAATAAAAATAATTGTTTAAAATTGCCTATTAATTTGTGTGTTGTCTTTTTGGTTTTAATTTTTTAGTCAATAATTTTAAGACCATTTTTAATGTATTATAAATAAGATTATACAGATTAAGAAAATCAGCTGAGGTCCCAATTTACCATAGCTCAAACTACATGCTCTTTCTGAAACACAGCATCTCTTTTGCTAGTAAGGAAATACCACTAATTAAGACCTCTATGTTCTCATATGTTATCCCTCCTACAGGAGCAATAACCATGTCAAGGGCCAGAAGACCTTCCACCTCCATTGACTCAAATACCTGGTTGTATTCAATTCACTAGGTTATGTAAATAAATCTGTTTGAGAAAGGACTTTTCTTGGCAGAATAAATTAGAATCTGTATTTTAGCTTTGTCAAGCAACACAAAATAAAAGCATAAACTCAATTCAATAAATCTTTATTGAGCTCCCACAGGGTGCATGAATTTAGGATCTATAATTTACATAGGTAGAAAAGTGTTATTTAGCCCCCTCTTTTTTTAAAAACAAAAAGCAAATTACAATTTCTCTATAAATTCAAGTGAACCATTTAATGAGGCTTGGTTTGCTGTTACCTAAGTAATTAACAGAAAAAAAAGGGAAAGTATAAACATTTTCCCTTCTACCAAAAAAGGGTCTGATACCAGGATAAACTAGCCCACTGGTTTAATTATAGATGATCAAAAAGGCTAGAGAATCTGGAAGAAAAAGATGTATTTGGAAATACTGTCTTCTGAGGGCTCATCCCAAGAGGACAGCAAAATGGTAAAAATATTAACTGGCTCAAAAATTATACTGAGAGATCAAGAGAGGAGTTAGTCACATCTCAGGGGGAAAAAAAGTCAAGAACAGATGACACTAACTGTGGCTAGATCAATAAATCTAATGTTTCCCTGGAGTTCTGATAGCACTCTGAGCCAAATGGAGGGACTATAAATTCATGCCCCTTTAAACAGAGTGGTTTTAAATAATTCTCCAGTGCACCAACTGTATTTTCAAGTATAATTCTGGTATTTGTACCTAACAATACAGAAGAAAAAGCAGCAAGGAGAAAATGTCAAGTATATAGGACATAAAATGATTTGGCAGCCCTAGAATTCCCAGATTAAGTCTTTTTCATCAGGAAAATTGCATTCTGGTTCAGTCCAAGGTAACACTGGAGGCAGTGATACTGATGGCTTGTTATAAGCAGGAGGCAACAGTGAAAGTATTGAATCCTGGCTTTCTTCTTTCATCTGTTAAAGAAACTCAAAATAAGGCTGTTTGTACATAAATTCAATGCATCAGTTTTGTTAGTGATAAATAATTTTTAAAGAAATCATGTTAAAAGTGTTTAAAATTGTTTTTGAGTATTTTCCTTAAAAATGCCTTTCATTATGGTCATCTGAAAACAGGAAGAGCCAAATGAACTGATTTTTATCAGAATTATTATGCTCTTTCATCATTTCTAGCCAATATAGAAAATGTCTCTAAATTAATCAACATACATTGGGCATATATAGTAACATATGACAATAGTTGAGTTTGTTTTTACTCATTTTGTTTTACAGAATGAAAATATTTTAGAAAGTTTATAATTCTACTAGAAAAGTTTTTTTTTTGTTTTTCACTTTATTTTGTAAGAAAGTTATTAGTAAGAATCTTGGTAACCAAAGTATCCCATCAAGCCAACAAAATGAAGTGACCTTTTAATAGTACTTAAAAACATCTAGACAACAGATAATAGATCTGCTCACCTGTTTGAAGAAAACATGAGACAACAAACTGCTTGCTGATGGCCTGAAATTATTTTTAAAAAGTTATAAAAAAGAATCTCATATTAGAATGTAGATTTTAGGTATATAAATATATTAGAAATTAGGTTTAGAGCTATAAATCCCAATATTAAAAAAATTAAAAAGGAAAAGAATATATATCAGAAGCCCAATTCTTAGCCCCTACCTTGACTAATGGGAAGAATTAATTCTAGAGGTATCTTTCAAATAATCCATACTTAACATTTACTAGACACATTCTATTAATAAGGAACTATGCTAGGCACTAAGGGGCTAAAAAATAAATAAGACATACACATCTTGTTTCCAAAATACTAATGTTTCCAAAATACTAAATATTGTTACCTATGATAATAATTTATATTAGTATAGTAGCAGCAACTTACATTTTTATACTACTTGGAAGTTTCCAAAATGTCTTAACATAAAGGCAGGGATTGACATCCAGAAAGAGTAACTGATTTTTACAAGGTGACTTGGCTAGGAAATGGTACGGCTGAGACTGGAGCCCATCTGTTCTGACTTTGAATCTAGGATTCTTCCCATTAGCTTATTGCCTCTACTTGTTCTTAGCGTTGATATTTTCTAGATTAGACTGTAATTTTTGATCAAAGACTTGAATTTTATGGGAAGGGCAGTATCACAAATATCATACCTTTTCTCAGGATCTTGTTGCAAACAAAGCTGTACCAAGCTAAAGAAAGCAGGAGAGAAGGTTTTTGAGGATGGTGTATGTAATCGGTCACTATTTATTGTGTGAGTTCCACTGGAGACAAGTACACTTTCTCCAATCCCAGAGTCTACACCTGATTGGGAACTTTTCATTCTGGATTCTGACTGAGGGAAAATATTGATATCCAGTGGGCTATAAGGAGGACCTTTTAGTTTCTGTAACAGCATCTAAAAGAAAGAAAAATTTCCTTCAACCCTTTTTAGGCAAAATATTAAAATAACAGTAATAACAATAAAACTCCTAAGAGTCTACAGCAAACATGTTTAACAGAAATTATACAGAACATAAGAGATCTTATGAAAGGCAAGTAGTTCAGGGATTTTAGTGGCACTTACTTGAGTACTGTGCATGTTCTGGAAAGGTACCTTCCCACTGGCTAATTCACATGCTGTAATCCCAACACTGTAAATATCTGACTTCACATTATACCCATGTAAATCCTATAGAACACAATTAATTTGAAGTCCTTTAGTGCAAATAACAGAAAGTTGCATACATGTGTTCTTTTGATAAAGGATGGTAAACAATAATGGGGAAAAAACCTATAAGCAAGAAATCAAGGTATACCTGATATATAGTATATAATTTTAAATTCCTAACATAATTTTGACAAGAGTGAGGAAAAAAAGTCTTGCAGTAGGCCATTCACCAATCCAAATACAAGGGTACAAATGTCTTTTAATCAAACTCAGAAGACACTCAAGACGCAGACAACCCAATGAAACGGCCACACCTGACCTGTCTCAGTAGTTCTGGACTCAGCCACGGCTGCACTGACGTGCTGAACTGTGGGAAATCATACACAGCCCTATGCCTCTGTCCGTGCTTAATCAAACTATGCAGATGGGAAAGGCCAGAGAGGGTCACCAGGCCATCACCAGAAATGAGGATATGGCTGGCTTTAAAATTCCTAGAACAAAAAGAAACAATCCTAAGTACTAGGAAACTGGCCAATGAAGAAAGAGTAAAAATCTGGTCAGAACAAATCCAAGTATTCTCTTGGAAATTTGAATATTGAATATCCTTTATTAAAAAGCAGTATATGATATATACTACTCTATATACAGGGAATTTGGAATTCTTTCAGCTACTTAATATAGCACTAGAATAAGGAAAGATATAATGATAGCTACATATTTGGAATTGACAATATTTTTTCGAACAAGGAATGAAATCAAATTATGAATTTCACTATTTTAGGATGCTATTATAAAACACCTAAGGAAAATCTAAAAACATCAATTAAATAACATTTGAAGCATAAGGTTATAATTTAAAGTTAAGTGTAGGCCAGGCACAGTGGCTTATGTTTGTAATCCCAGAGCTTTGGGAAGCTGAGGCAGGAGGATCACTTGAGGCCAGGAGTTCAAGACCAGCCTAGGGAACACAGCAAGACCCCTGTCTCTATAAAAAATAGAAATTTTAGCCAGGCATGATGGTGCACAGACACTGTAGTCCCAGCTACTGAGTAGGCTGGGGCAGGAGGATGATTGCTTGAGCCCAGGAATTCAAGGTTACAGTGAGCTATGATCATGCCACTTCTCTCCAGCCTGGGTGACAGAGCAAGACTCTATCTCAAAACTAAAATAAAATAAAAGCCTCTCACAGTTTAACATCATTTATAAACATGACATGTAATAATCTCCTTTAATTATCAGACAAATTATAAAAGTGCATTATTTTGCTTCTAAAACACTGAATTTGGAAACTAACAGAGTAGGATGGCCAATATATTATCTGATAGGTGTAAATAAAACCCCAATTTATTAGAATACAGTGCGTTAAAATCCTTAGTTAATAAGAATGCTGCTAAAAAAACAACAAATAGTACAAAATGCTATAAGGGGTTTGAAACAAACAATAAGAAAGCAATCTTATTTAAAAATAACTTAATTAAAAAGCAAAGCAAAGTCCCAGTATAACTCAGAATGGCACTGTTTTTAGCATTCAATTACTTTTGCATCTACAGTCTGATAACAAGAGAACTGATATTTAGTATGATCATCTCAATGTGTTGCAAAATATTTAAGAAATCAAAGAAAGGTTTAATTATAAGTTGTACATGATATAAATGTGACATAGCTAAAAAGCAGATAAAGAAGCTCTTTATTTGCTTTGAAAAAAACCTCAAAAACCAAAAAACAAAACCCAGCCAACTAGGATCCCACTCCTTACAGTTTATCCTCCAAACATATAGGTTCTCATGTCCCTCATCAGATTGAGAATGTGAGCTCCCTGAGGGCAGGCACTCCACACCAGCACCAAGCACAGTGCCTGGCACAGAGCATGCGGTCTGAACATGTTTGGTAAATGGTAGTAAGATAATCAGCATCCACTGCATCTATTAGCCCCTTCTCCCTCCATTTTCATTTATAAGTTTCCTATCCCTTCTTTCTAACACTTAACTGCTCCTTCCTAAAAGCTCCCTAATAGATTTCTTCCATTAAAATTCATTTTGTAAAATACAAATAAGTAAATACCTATGAATACAGCCATTTTGATGCAGATAGTTCAACCCTCTCACAGCTCCAAAGAGAATATTTCTTATTAAAGTTTCACTCATTCCTTCAGGAAAGTAGGTCCTCAAGAGCTGGCTTGCTGAACCTGAAAGAAAATCCTGAAATCCTTAGATGGTCACTGAAAGTGATTTTACTCCCACTTATGTTTTAATGTTCTTTTCAACCATGAACACACAGACATCTGTCACTTGGACTCTAACCCTTTCCCATGCAAATGTGATTTTCCTTCAGGAATCTTTTCTTTTTTTTTTTTGAGACAGAGTCTCACTTTGTTGCTCAGGCTAGAGTGAGTGCCATGGCGGCGTCAGCCTAGCTCACAGCAACCTCAATCTCCTGGGCTCAAGCGATCCTACTGCCTCAGCCTCCCGAGTAGCTGGGATTACAAGCATGCACCACCATGCCCAGCTAATTTTTTGTATATATTTTTAGTCAGTCAATTAGTTTCTTTCTATTTTTAGTAGAGACGGGGTCTCGCTCAGGCTGGTTTAGAACTTCTGACCTTGAGTGATCCACCCACCTCGGCCTCCCAGAGTGCTAGGATTACAGGCGTGAGCCACCGCGCCCGGCCATCCTTCAGGAATCTTTAAAAGATTTTTTTCTAATGCTACTCTAGAGATTAGAAAAGAGAATTAAAACAATTTTTCAATATTATTGGATAAAAGTACATACTGTATATGTATGTGTGTGTATATATGTATATATATATTTTAATCCAGAAGCAATTCACAAAAACTGTCCTAAAAATCAAAGCTCTAGAATCCATTCACTTATTTATTCAACACACTTATTGAATACTACTTTGTGCTAAGTATTATGTGAGTACCTGGGGACACCAAAATGAAATATATATAAGTGATCCTTGACCTAAAGAAGCACAAGTCCAGTGAGGGAGATTGGCACACACAAAGATGTTTACAATACAGTGAAATAAGTTTACAATGCATTGAAACAGGGGCAAGGATTGTGTGCATAGGTGAAAAAACGTTACTCTCCATTGAGAGAGGGGAGTGAAACTTAAAGAGTCAGATTGTGCAAAGGCATGGAAATCTTGGAGAAGCAATGGTGGTGTCATTGATCATCAAACCCATTCTCCTTTTTTATAAATACTAAAATTCAACATGAATCAGATATAGAAATACATCATGAAATCTAGAATCAGCTATTAGATTTACAAATTAAAAGTAGTGGAGAGGAAGGAGGGGCGAGGAAAAAAATAAAATAAAATAAAAGTAGTGCATCCTAAATCTAAGATTCCAATTATCTTTACAAGTATAGTATGCACACTAAATGATGAGTTATTTGTTAAAAACCAGTTTTCTTACCATAGGCCATAAATGGAGAAATAACCCAAAGCCAGCTGCCAACAGTGAAAACTGTCCAATAAGTTGTAATATTGGGATGCTGGAAAAAGTGGGATAGAATCACCGCTTTCTAGGATAAACACACAAGAGACAAGACATTTACAGTCTTTTTTTCCTTATGATGAAGATACAGTAGTGGCAGCTAATACTCAAGAAAGCTTGTTAGCACTAAGCACTGTTCTTAGTGCTTTTACCTCTTTAAATCTCACAAAACACTCCATGAAGTATGTGATGTTATGATTTCCACTTTACAGAAGACACTTAGGGATAAGTTAGAAAAACATGTCCAAAAGCACATAATTGATAAAAAGAAGTGGAAGTGGAATGTGAACTTAGAAAGTCTGACTCCAGAGGTCATACTCTTAAAGACTACACTATGTTCTTATTATACAAACATCTAAAAACACATAAAAATATGAAAATAAACATCTCTTCTGACACTGTATCATGGAGGGAACCACAGTGAACATTTTAGTGCCGTTTCTCCCAGTCTTATTTTTCTGTGCAATATACATAAATATTTTAAATATTGGGACACTATTAAAACAAAATCCTTTCACCCTTTATATCAAAAATGATTAGTGATAATGAAAATGATACTATACCTGAAATGTAATTCTGTCAAAGTTTGCCAATTCAGAAATTAATTTTGTTTAACTGGATGGAAAGGAAACTATTTGCTTTTGTTTTTTTTTTATTTCCCTATATGACTATTTGTGATTGGACTGACTAGAGGTGTTATAAATCTCCAGACTAGCATTTTGAATATGATACTCACTTGAAGGAATAGTCGTTAACCAATCTTGAATATATTTGTTCTTTCATGTAATGGATCTGGCCTCCAAGTATTTTTTCCAATTCTGTAACTGCATGCTAATTAGAACTAATTACCTTTCCCTAACAGGAAGAACTATGAATTCGGGGGAAAAAATTTTTTATAGATGTAATCTCAAATAGACATTACATTAAATACAGTTGTCCCTTGGTATTCATGGAGAATTGGTTCCAGGACCCTCCAAGAATGCTCAAGCCCCTTATATACAATGTCATGGTATTTGTACATAACCTATACACATCCTCTTACATGCTTTAAATCATCTCTAGATTACTTATAATACTTAATACAATGTAAATGCTATGTATACAGTTGTTGTACTAATTTTTGTTTATATTCTTGTATTGTTGTGTGTGTGTGTGTGTGTATATATATATATATATTTTTTAATACTTTCTATTAGTGGTTGGTTGAAGCCATAGCTGCAGAACTTGTGGCTACTAAGGGCCAACTGTATATCTTTTTCTTCATATTGTTACCTGTAAAGATTTCAGGCGTTCTTCATTGCAGTTTTCCAGATTTGTAATTTTTATAGTTACCAGTGTTCCTGTAGGAGTATGCCGTGCAAGATGGACAGAAGTCAAGTTGTCAAATCCTCTTCCTATAATCAGACATAAAATTCAAGTTAGTAACCAAAGATGAAAAAAACTGACAATATGGACTTTATCAAAATTGTTCTTCAAAAACTGTTAAAAGAAAACTACTGATTGAAAGTATTAACAATATTTATATCTGTCAAGACTTCCATCCAGAATATATAAAGAACTCTTACTATTGTATAATAAGATAATAAGCAATCCAATTAAAAAAGGCAGAGTTATAAATAGGCAATCCATAAAATAAGATATAGGAATGATTAATAAGCATATAAAAAGATGCTCAAGATAGAGAGATGCAAATTAAAACAACATACTATCACATATTATAATAGCTAAAATTGTGACTTGATAAACTGTGACATATTCAAACAATGGAATGCTATTCAGCAATCCCCTATCCCCACTCCCAGTCCCTGGCAACCACCAATTGGATTTTTGTCATACGAATGGTATCAAAAAGAATATAGTCTTTTGTGGTTAGCTTCTTTCTTTTTCTTTTTCTTTTTTTTTTTTTTTTGAGACAGAGTCTCGCTTTCTTGCCTAGGCTAGAGTGAGTGCCGTGGCGTCAGCCTAACAAAAACAAACCGCAAACTCCTGGGCTCAAGCGATCCTCCTGCCTCAGCCTCCCGAGTAGCTGGGACTACAGGCACAAGCCACCATGCCCGGCTGATTTTTATATATATATATTAGTTGGCCAATTAATTTCTTTCTATTTTTATGGTAGAGACGGGGTCTCGCTCAGGCTGGTTTTGAACTCCTGACCTTGAGCAATCCGCCCGCCTCGGCCTCCCAGAGTGCTAGGATTACAGGCGTGAGCCACCGTGCCCGGCCTGTGGTTAGCTTCTTTCACTTAGCATAACTTTTTTGAGGTCCATCCATGTTGTACCTATCAGTAGTTAATTTTTATTGCCAAACAATAGTCCATAATATGGATATACCACAATTCATTTATCCATTTATAAAGTTGATGGATATTTGGGTTGTTGTCAGTTTTTGGCCACTATAAATAAAGCTTCCAAAAACATTCCTGTATACGTCTTTAAGTAGGCATATGTTTTCATTTTTCTTTAGCAAATATCTGAGAGTGAGATTGCTGGGTCATGTGGTATCGGTATGTTTAACCATATAAGAAGATGCCAAACTGTTTCCATAAGTGGCTGAACTATTTTACATGCCCATAAACAAGAGCTGCAGTTGCTTGACATACTGTCCAGAATTTGGCATTGTCAGTTTTTTAAACGTCAAACACCTACTCTAGAGTGGCACCTATTAATAGGTATCCTTCTTTCCATAGTCACCAAATTTTATCAGTTTTATCTTTGAAATGAAGTTAATCTCAAATTTACCTTCGCCTCCTCATTGTCAGTGTCACTGCCTTAGTTCAAGTCCTGTCTTCCCTCTCTCCCTGGATATATGTAGTGACTTCCTCACTATGCCTTGCATTATCAACCAGGGCACACCAAAGGAAGTACTTCAAAATACTTATGCCTAGGCCCCATTCCTATGAAATTTTGATTTAGTAGCTCCATGATGGAATACAGGCACTGCAGTTTTTAAAAAGACAGATAATGAGGGTGATACTTCTAGTTGTGAATCACTAATCTACTATATCTTCCAGACTGCTGCCAGAGTTGTTCTAAATTTGGTATTTCGTCAATAGGAAGGTCCCACAGTGCACTAGCTGAAAGCTTAGACCTTACAGTCAAGAAAGTCTGGTTTCAAAGCATAAGCTGAATGACTATCTCAGGGCCTCAGTATCCTCATCTGCAAAATGGAAATGGTAAAGGGTTAAAAGAAAAAAATACTTATTAAATGTTCAGCATAAAGCCTGTTAGATGCTATTAATACCATCAACAAACAATAATACATAATACATCCATACCACAATTTATTTATCCATTCATAAAGTTAATGGATATTCTACAATGTCTCTCTAGCAGAAGGATAAAAAATCCCAAAGTTCTGCCTTAAATCGTTAGAGCAATAAAGTAGATAAGGAGTGGGAGCCAGCAGAGACAAATACACCATACAAAGTCCTTCACAATGCGTTCCAAACCTACCTTTTCAGATTTATTTCCTATCACTGCCTACTCTCCCCTTAGTCCCACTTGAAGTCACAGAGGCACTATATGGTATTCTCCCTCTAACTATCCTTCCTCAGTCATTTACTGATGTAAAATAAACATTTTTTTACCTTTCTGGATTGCCACTTTCTTTCTAATTTTGGAGAATTTGCCACCATGTGCTGTTTTAAGAAAAGGTTAGATCCTTATTCTGCATTGGTCTCCTTGACCCTAGCATGTGATCTAAGCTTGGCCACTTGGAGGATGGAATGTGTGACATAAAGAAGCAGGAGCAGTCAGAACTCCCTGCAGTGGGTTCAATGTCCAGTGGCAGGAGGCCCCTGCCGGGTAGAACACTAACCAGCCTGCTCCTATTCCCCAGTTCTGGTCCCAGTCACTCAGCTTCTCTTGGTTTCTTCCAAACTCATTTCTCTAGCCAATAATTTTGTGAGTTAGCAATATTGTTCAAAAATTCTTTTTTTGCTTTAGCTAACCAGGATTGTCTTCTGTTGTTTGTAACAAAAACTCTGATGAGAATATTGAGGAAACTTTTCTTCGTTCTTCAGGATTTAGTCCCTTTTTGCCAACTTTCTTGACTCCTAACGGTGGTTGGTTGGATGCTCCATCTTCTCTGTTCCCATTACACTTAGCACACATCTCTACTAGAGCACTCTCAGGTGCATAAAACAAAGCTGTCTTATGTGTTCATCTTCCCAGAGAGCATGTGAACTAACTCCTCAGGTGTTTTACATGGCTTTCTATCCTTAGCGCCTAATATAGTAACTGGTTTGTAGTATTTAATAGATGTTTCTGAATATTCAGAGCAAATGTTTCACATATATAAAACTATAAATAGTAGCCCATCCTGTTCCACACTTAACTGAAAAAACATTCTACTATACATGGCATTTTAGGTACAATTTTAAATTAAAAAGTAATTTGGTTACAGGACTATAACTGAAAAGATTTACATGATTTGATTTTACTTCATACCCCATATAAATTATACTCATAAAATCAGAAGCTTCCCACAATACAGACACAAATAATAAATATTTAGAGTCTTCCACCTCTAATTATATTTCGGCAGAAAAGTAAAAACTCTAAATAGTAATCTTGAAAAAAATCTGGGCCATTGTTTTAAGACAGACATAAAATTAATTAAATCCATTTGACTGACACAATTTGTATCTATTTTTATGCTGTAGGAGACAACAGAAAAACAGTTGCCTACAAAATAATATCTTTTGTCATCAATTTCATTTCTAGCAATGAAGGGTCAATTATGTGAAATTCAGAATTATTACCTATTTCCACTTGGAGCTCATAGTGAGAAACATTGGTGGAACATATCACTTCACTGGCTCTAGTGGATGGAGGCAACCAGGAAAGGGTTGGCTCATCAACCTGCATGTTTTTAAAAGACAGAAACAAAATAGGTATAAATTATTTTGGTCCCTCACCCAATATAAAATACTACTATTGTATTTCAAACACATAGATGTATATTAGTCAGAAAAAGTCTGGGGCTGTTTTAAGATCCAAAAGGAATTTACCAGTTGCTAATTGATGTTAGAAAGCTATCAGCCTACACAGGACAAGAAGGCAGGAAAGGCAGACTTACAGATAGCAAGGAATATTTTCCAGTGCAATTTCCAGTAAAATTTTTAAGATTTTTGTAAGAATGGCTGCTAATTCTTTAGGGTAGCTGGTAAATGTATTGCGAGAAGATTGCAGGGACCTGTGAGGGATATTCTATGCTTGCGCTCTTGCTTCAGGTGGTTGCCAGCTATGTCCATTTCTCATACAGGGGACACACTCTGCTAATAGAGGTGTTAATAGTAACAGTCAAGGAACAATTTCTACAGTGCAGCCTATTAAAATTGCTGATGAAGTTTTTTTTTTACAAGATGGAATGAATCAGAAACGAAGTTAGAAAGAAAACTAAACCTAAGGAGATAGGAGAATAGGGTATAGACCTCCTAAGTAAATAACCATGTACTAAAATAAAGTCTTATGGGGTGCTTTAGAGTGAGAGTCTTAGATTTGTAACCCGAATACAGTGGTAATAAAATAGTATGCATGCATGAGAAAGAAGAGGCCTAATCCACTGGCTTCATAATAGTCATGAGGGTCTCTCAAAGCACATTAGTACCCCAAAGGACACTTAGAAGCTTTTATAGGCACCAGCAGGCAGGCATCTTGTTACTGCCTCCAAGATGGAGAGAAGGAAGAAGGGGGTAAAATGACATCACTATGTGCTAGGAATTATGCTAACTACTTTTCACATCCTTGACTCTTTTTAGTCAGACAAAGACATGGAGTTTAAAACAGCAACATAAGAGAACATATTCATTCTATTGTATGGAAAGAAGTGTTATCTGATTCTAGAATTGCAAATAAAACCAACTGAGACCTTTAAACTGAAAAAGAAAAAGAAAAAAAAAGTGACAAAAGGATTATATATTCCCTAAACTTTTAAGAGAGCAGAAAAAAATAATTATAAACCCACGGCTAAGGATGAATAAAAGTGAATATTGTTCAAGAGGAATGAAAGATTGTAAAAAGAAATTCTATTATACAACTGGAAATAATCCCAATGAGAAAAGAAATCTAAGTAAATCAGTTTAGTTTCTTTACAACAGGAGTCTTCAGATAAACTTAGATTAAAAGAACACATATAAGAGAGAGAGTATATAACAATTTTTTTAAAATTTTAAAGTGGTTTTAACCTATAAGCTGTTAGGAAGGCTAGAGACATATAAACTGAGGCTTACCATTCACTGCTTGAAAACACAGCATAATGTTACTGAAATCAGATCTAATCAGCCTCTATTTTGCTTCCATCTATTCCACTAGGGAAATAGTCTTCTTTAAACTAGAAGGGGTACATATGTTGTAAATAAATATTCAAAGTCTCAAACAGGTTGTTTTAAATAGGTTCAAATCTCCAGGCCAAGGGCAAGTACATTTAGGTTATTAAATTTGCAGATATAGAACTCAGATGTGAAACCAGAATGGAAATGGTCAAACACTGACCTAATTTTCAAAAACGGAGAAAACTACAAAGGGGCAAGCTTGATGCTGCTGCCCAGTAAAGTCTAAGATCAAATTATTAGACAGATGAATTATGAGCATTTAAGAAAACAACATGGCAATCATAAGAAGATAATATAGGTTTACTAAGAGTCAGTCATCCCAAACTAACCTCACTTCTCTTTTTGATTTGATGACTAGTTAGAGAATTAGAAAGCAAAAATTATGGCAGGGTCCTTGTCTTTGTTTAATGACTTCTTGAAAATGCAAATGGCCTGTTTTTAAAAAACCATTGATTATATATTGCTAGGTATAGCTAATTACTGAAGGAATGAATCAGGACTCACAATTATCTTGAGCAACTGAAAGAAAAGCCCAGATCAGGAAAATTTTATAGGGATGAATGCAAAATCTTACACTTAAGTTAAAAAAAAAATCAATGGCCTAAATACAAAATTGAGAATACCAGGTTTATGACCTTGAGGTTTCAGTCAAAAGTATGACAAGGATGGTTAAATAAAAGCACAATATCGAGTTACATTTATAGAAGCAAAATGAGCGGAGTGAACGAGATAAGTCTCAACATATTCTGAAATGATTAGTTAGTATCTGGAGCACCATGGATAATTGAGACACCACAATATAACAGGGACAGTGCAAAATGGTGAGGTCTAGAGAAAAGCAAGCATCTTGGTGAAGGTTCTGGCAACACTGAAGGAACTGGGAATACTTGATCTGGAAAAGATAATATTAAATATATAGTTGCCATTTTCAAGTAACTAGAAGACTAATGTAGAAGGCTAAATACAATTGTTCAGACAGCAGAGCTGAGCTTAGGAGACAGAAGCTACAGGAAGCATATTTCAGTTCAGTGAAAGAAATTCACAGTAACTGTGCCATCCAACAGTGGGTCAGGCACCAAGCTGCCTCCTTATATCATTCTCTCTCCACTGACATATTCAAATTGGGACTGGGTGACCACCACTGACAGTACCTGAAGTACAAGGAGGTACACCCAAGAACTGGAAGTGAGGATGGAATGGTCAGTAAATGGAAGGCTAGCCTACAAATGTCTGCTTACAGCAGAAGAAAATACTGTGATATGAATTTCAAGTACTTTTGACACCTGACATTAGTTCTCCCTTCTAAATTAAACTGCTTTTAATTATGATTTGGTTTCTGATGGAACTTTACTATAAAGAAAGAGTAGACCGATGATGCAATGTAAGGGTACCATTTCCTCTGACACTGGGAGAGAGAGTTTACAAAACAGTCTAATTGCTTGGTTAATGTGGGTCTGAGGCTAAAATATGGATCCGCTCTAGGTTTGCTGACTAAAATCCAGTTTCTGATTCTGAGAGACTAAGGAACAGACCCCAAATATCATGGTTCAACAACCAAGCCAGTGAATGTCCCGCTGAAGTGGTTTTGGAGAGATTCTACCAGACTTTTACTTATGGTGAAACATACCTTTCCATTTTACTTTATTTTCTATGATGGAGCTCCTTGTCTTAAATTTCTACATTAACTCTCAGAGATATTGTAGAGAACACTCCCTGGATAGGTTGAAAATTGGACTAGATGGCCTTTCATTGATCACTGCAATTAAAATTGCATTACTTTAAAAAGCAGCATCTCAACTCAAACATCACAGCCTTTCACTTTCAAATGTCAATAACAGAAAATGGGCTTTTCTACAGATAGAAGGCTTTCCACAGTTATAGGAGACACAAATCATTTAGAAAACCAGACTGTCCTCCAAACATGACATTTTACCATAAAATTTAATCCTGTCTATAGGGTCCAGGCCAAGGGAGAACTACAAGTTGCCCAAACAAAAGACAACAGATGGTGTTTTTAAGCATGACTCAGGGAAAGCCCAGAAAGGTTCTTCTAATCATCAGGCATCAGTTTCCAGCTGGTGTCAACTTACACTACACAACTCCTCCATAAAAGACTTCAGAGAGAATTTGCTTCTGCTTCCCTCACTCAGAATTTTAGTCTAACTCCAATAACAAAGATGTGAGATTTCGCTCCCTAAAATATAAAATGGCTCTGACCTGCAGCTTTGAAGGATCCAAGTGGCACCTGTGGAAGTTTCCTGAGTTATAGGCCTCTCTCTCAGTAACATGGAGACAACAGTCAATTTACTTTCTCCCTCAACACAACCTCAACCTGAAGGGTATTACCTGAATTAAAACTCAGGTTGGATACTACATTCTACTGTACTAAAAGGCAAGTATACTTTCCATTGCCCCAAAGAAAAAAAAAATAAAAAAAATAAAAAAAAAAGGCAAGTAACTAGAAGAATTTAGGGTATTAGTGAAGAGAAAATGAAATGACAAAAATAAAGACAGCTGAAGATAGGATTGCATTAAATTATAAGCAAAATTAACTGGGATTATCTTACTTTGTAGCAAATATGGCATTTGCAAGAAAGATTCCATTTTGTAGTAAAAACTGCAACATAAAATATGAATTAAGGGAAAAAAAGATCCCAGAGAAATATTTATTATCAAGCATGTTCCTTTAACATATCAGGCATTGCCTACAGAAGATAAAGATGAGTAAGACATGATGCCTACTTTTATGGGGATCACATTATAACTGGGAAGACATAGATACTAATCATTATAATATCGTAAGTACTATTTTATGGTAATGTCTGATATACAGGAGAATAATGGAACAAAAAATATAAGTGGAAAGGCTTCATAGATGTGATACTTGAACCAATTCGATAATGGATGGGGAGAAATTTCAGAGGGAGAAAAGTATTTCAAGGAGAGAAGACAGTATGTGCTAAGACTCAGTAGCAAGAAATAAAACTCAAAAGTCAGACATATTCTACACAATTAAGAGTCCTTATAGCATGCTAGGCCTTATCCCATAGGCTTTAGGAAGCCAGTGGAAGTTTTAAAGCTGGAAAGGGACACAAGCAGGTCTATATTAGTAGCAATACTGACCACTAATATGAGTGGTGGGAGAAGACTATGGGGGTGTCTAGGAGCCTAGAGGCAATGAGTCCCCTGCAACAGCCCAGGTGGGAGACAATGAGTCTTGAATTCCAACAGTGCTCCTGGGAAGTAGAGGACAGATGCAAAGGCATTTCAGAGATAGACTCACTTCAGACAAAGACGCATAAGACTTGGTGTATAATAAATATGGGGGCAGAGGTAGAGTCAGTGTGAGGATAACCAGAAAGCTTCTAGTTAGGATGACACAGTAGATGGGTTTTCATTAGCTAAAGCAGTTGGTGAAGTTTGAGAGAATATCAATGTTTTACTCAGACTGAGAAGAGATACCTTTGAAAAACCCAACCAGAAGTATTCTATAGACACTTTTGGTGCCCAGGAAAGAGTCTGGGATTGCAGGTAAAAATCTGAGAATCATTGGTTCTGCTTGATGCCAGCGTCCCCTCAGGAAGCCTGAGGGAGCTCCAGGACAATCTAAAATCTGAGCAACTGAGGCCAAAGGAATAGATGAAACTGTTTAGGGAGAGCCAGTTTAGGAAGAAGGGAAGAGGCTAATTATAAACTCTTGGAGAACAGCAGGAGGAAGAAGAAAAAGACACTGGAAGAAAAAGAGATATAGGAAAACCAGGAGTGAATGGTATTACAGAAGGCAAAGGAGTATTTGTACTCAACCATTTTCTTACCAAGTATTGATGGATACTGGTTTCAGACTGTTTTTCAGGTCTGAGTGATTCAACTTGTGTTCTTGAAGTGCAGAAACAATCCTGGAAGTCAGAAATACATTAAATAAGTGAAAAATAAGTCATAGGATAAGCAAGGGTATTGTGTAGACACAAAAAGGTCAAATGGCATGGGCAGCAGAGACAAAGGGCAGCATGCAGGAACCTAGAATTGAAGCCAGGATCCATAGCATGGAGATACTCAGTATAGGAGAGAAGGAAGAGTAGCTGGGCGTGCAGAAGACAAACTTCCCATCTGTTAGAATTTTACTTGGCACCATCTCTGGTCCTTTCCCTCTCTTCTCTTCAGGTCATAATATCAATTCATTTTAAAAGTTGTTGTTAATTTTTAACTCTTTCATTACTGCTGAGGTTTTCTTCTGAATATTTTGCTAAAGATTATTCTGCTGTATTCATTATAATTTTTACTTTGATCCTCAGATATTTTTCTTAAGTGTAAGAACCATGTGTTTATTCACATTAAAACACATATTGAGTGTTTTTGGAATATCAATTTTATCTCAGTTGTTCAAATTTCTCATTTAGAAAAAAAAGTGAACATTTTGAGTCAAAAGATTCTAAAATATTTCATCACTGCATATAAAATGTACTAATAACATAAAGTTAAAATTAACCAAGTGAACTAATATAAATCACTCATTATTCCATGTCATATCACATTTTTCACAAAATCTATAGTTATGGAATAATAGATTAAGATATCCTTCTTCCAAAATTTGGAAGCCCTAGGCAACCACACAGCCCCTTGAATCTCAGAATCCTCTTCTATCAAATGAGAGGACCAGACTAAATACCCTTTTGTATCTTCTCCAACTTACAAATTGATATAAAATTATAAATCTTAATTCTTTAAACCAAATCTGACCCACCCCGTTTTTGTGAATAAAGTTTTACTGGAATATTTTCATTCCTTTACATATTGCCTATGGCCACTTTCACACTACAACAGCAGAAGAGTAGTTGTAACAGAGATCATATGGCATGCAACTACTATGGCCTTTATGGAAAGTTGCTCACCCCTGCTTTATATGTTTTCCATATATATAAAGCTTCCTTTTTAAGTGGTAAAGCTTTACTTTAAAGTAATGTGTGATGTATTTTCCATATAACTAACATTACAGTAGTCTTCTAACGTCATGGTTTTGCCTCTCAGCCTTGGCAACAGATGGAGTAGTTCAGCAGATATAAGTCTGAGACCTGGTTCAAATTCTTTGCAATCTTGGGCCAACTCAAAATCAGGATGATATCACCTGCCCTATCAATTGCTCACAATTTTAAAGAATGAAAGAAATACATGAAAGTATCTGTAAACTACAAATCATCATACAAATATACTCATCATTTTTTAAAAGATCACGGTCAATATAAAAATTTCCTATTCAAATATTATATTCTATATAAGAGAGAATGAAAAGTCCTCAAGCTAATTAATCTAAAGTAGATATCATGGATCTAATATAAATACAAAACCAATTGGCATCTATATCTTGTATTATACATTGAACCAAATGATTTTTGTCTGATTGTTAAATCAAAGGACTAATTTTTTTTTTATTTCAGCATATTATGGGAGTACAAATGTTTAGGTTATGTATGTTGTCTCCCCGCCTCCCAGAATCAGAGCTTCAAGCATGTCCATCCCCAAGACGGTGCGCATTGTACTCATTACGTATGTATATATGCCCAACCCCACCTCCCCCCTCCCATCTGCCCAAAGCCCAATATATGTTATTCCTATGTGTCCACTTAAGTGTTGATCACTTAATACCAATTTGCTGGTGAGTACATGTGGTGCTTTTTTTCCATTCTTGGGATACTTCATTTAGTAGAAATGGGTTCCAGCTCCACCCAGGAAAATACACGAAGTGCTATATTACCGTTGTTTCTTATAGCTGAATAGTACTCCATGGTATACATATACCACATTTTATTAATCCACTCATGTACTGATGGGCACTTCGGTTGTTTCCACATCTTTGCAATTGTGCATTGTGTTGCTCAAAGGACTAATTTTTAATATTATTTTGTTTGCCTTTAGTCAGATGAGAATTTATAAAAGATATTTTTGAAAGATTTAAAGAATAAAACATGACTAACTGGATGGGAGAGACATATCTAAGCACAACATATGAATGAGAAAAAGTGGGTATGGGACAAAGGATTAGAATAATGAATATATTAAGATAGTATAAAAATTCTTTTTGAAAGAGACAAAAACTTAATGATAATTTAATTCAGTTCTAAAAACCAGAAGTTATACAGGTCAAAACAACAACTCAGAGTTTTCTTTTAATTTTTTTAAAATTAAAAAAAATATTTTTTTCATTTGGTGATGTCTCACCAAGCTGGTCTCAAACTCCTGGCCTCAAGCAATCCTTCTACCTCACCCTCCCAAACTGCTGGGATTACAGGCCTGAGCGATCACACCTAGCCAGAATATGCTTTTTATTACAACTGTGCACTAACGTCTAACTAGTATGATGGCCCCAAATCAGATCTATGTTAATAAAAACTTACCAAAAGAGACATTGAATCGCTTTAGTTCACAGAAAGTGACAAAAATCCATATATTCCAAAGATTTTTGTTTTACTTTCAAGATGCAGAAATATCCTCCTATAAAAAACAAAAGCAAAATAATACAGATTCACATAAAAGTTCCTTTAAGAACTAGTTGCCATAAACCTACCTGATATTTAGGCAGCTATTCCTTGACACAAGGATTAGAGATATTCCTAAAGAGTATTTCTTTTTATTGAACACTATTTGGGATCTGACATCACAACAGAAAAGCAGAGTGAAAATGAAGGGAAGTTCTGAATAGTTCCAAAGACTCAATTTACTTAGATCTCTCCTTACCTATCTTTTCTATTTTTTTTTTTAGACCCTGAGCAAATGTAAAAGTAATATGGAAAACCAAATTTGGACCCACTTTTGATACAAATGATGTCATTTACAAATAAACTACAAGAATTTCCAGTGGTTCTTTTTTTTTTTTTTTGAGACAGAGTCTCACTTTGTTGCCCAGGCTAGAGTGAGTGCCGTGGCATCAGCCTGGCTCACAGCAACCTCAAACTCCTGGGCTCAAGCAATCCTACTGCCTTAGCCTCCTACGTAGCTTGGACTATAGGCATGAGCCACCATGCCTGGCTAATTTTTTTTCTATATATATTAGTTGGCCAATTAATTTCTTTCTATTTATAGTAGAGAGGGGGTCTCGCTCTTGCTCAGGCTGGTTTTGAACTCCTGATCTCGAGCAATCCGCCCACCTCGGCCTCGGCCTCGCAGAGTGCTAGGATTACAGGCATGAGCCACTGGGCCCAGCCGGTTCTCTTATAAGTAAACTCTGAGGAATTCCAAAGCTTTCTTACTGGATTAATTACCTATTAAGTCATTTGGGATCCTTGACTAGCAAACATGGGAAAGAAGCAGGATTAGTAACACACTAAGAATTAATGTGTTCTTATTGCCATACATTTAGAAAAAAAGAGAATTTTTTAGTTTTCATGTGAAAATAACATTTTTATAGGTTAAAATTTTTTTACCTTATGATTTTTAGTTCTCTATTCTATTCTTGAAATTTGTTGACAGATATCAAGGATATGCAGATTATAATGCAAATAAATTCCTGTCCACTTTCATAAGAGAGTATTGATGTCAATAGTTTGTGAAGATTCTGCAACAGAGGTTTAATATATTAACAGTAACTTCTTCAGATTCCAGTAACATGAAAGCACCATCAAAGGTTTCCAGATCTTTTACTAATAGAAAGGGTGGGACTGGTATTTCCTTACATCTAAACAATATCTCTTTCATCTAAATTGTGCTTCATATTTTATTGTAATGACGTTCCCGGATTTGATGAAGGCATCTACAAATATCTGAGCAAAATGAGAAAAGGAAGATTTTGTAAACCATAAACACTACAGAGCAGTATCCAATTTTACTGCTAAGGAAAGAAATGAATTTATTCAGGATGTTTACTATGAACCAAAGGTAGAGAGTGGGAAGAAGAACTTGCAAGGTTATAATTATGTTGTCACCTGCCTTCATTACCGTCAATTTAAGGCCCTGGAGTTTGCTGTGCTATAAAAGGGGGAAAAAATGCCTACCCTGCCTAACTTACAAGGTGATGGACATCAAATGAGATACATCTGAAAGTGCTCATAACTACCAAGCACTGTATCAGTATAAAAGCTTGAGTGGATTCTCTGGAAGGTATACTCAAATATACTGATGGCAGTGCAAAATGGTAAGGCTCATTTGGAAAGCAAGTTGGCAATGTTTCAATAATCATTAAAATATTCATACCTCCTGACCCAGTAAAATTCCCACTTCTAGTAATCTCTTCTGAGGAGATATCCAAATACATGAAGAAACTATACACACCCAGAGAGTCATTACCCTGTTATCTGTCACAGCCAAGTGTTCATTCCACAAGTTTTGTGAACAGCTACCAGCTACTGGGCACTGGGGACACACACTGATAATCAGGACAGACAAGGTCCTGACCACTTGCAGCTAACTTTCCTATAATTAGAAAAGTTAGGGATGTCATGATTAACTGAATTTTCTGCTTCGTGTTCTGCTTTTTTCAGCAGCCTACAAAAGTGAAAAAGTAGAATTATTAAAATCAGCAAGTTGTTACTGATTTTGTTGTCTTGAACAACAAAACAATTTGAAACTCCATTATATTATCTATTTTTCAGAAAAGCTCAGAAGAAGCTGACACAAGCTGTGAGAAATGCTAGTATTAAAATAATTATCCCAATAGAGTGATTTAATCCCAGAGGTTTTTTGCCTTCCATACACCATAGTGTTAAGAAATAATTTTACAAGACATTTTGAGGTCAAGGCAGCAGCTGCACCTTCCAAGGGCATTGGGGTAGGGGATTTGCTGCTAATTTTCTATTGCATGCTCTTTCACTAAATATGAATATAAATCCTGTTAAAAATCAAACTTGAGACATATTTTAAGTATATTCACAAGTACATCAGTGTAGTCCCTTGCACTTGTATCCAAAAACCTAATTATGATAAAGCTTTATAAATAACATTTATTTGTCCGATAATAGAATGGTTCATCCAAAGGCTTTAATCTGAAAGATTAACACTTTCTGTGGAAACCAAAGGGCGCATCTGCTTACAGAACAAGGGTTTTGAGTTAGGTATCCAACAGAGGCCACTGTTACAAGGAATGCAAAAAAAAAAAAAAAATACCGATTCAAGTCTTCGTTCAACTTTAAAATTACTGTAATTTTCAAAGTGATCTTGGGAACCCGTAAAATCTTAACAAAAATCATAGGTCGATAGAATTTTCCAAACTTAGTATCGTGACTCAAGCTTTCGACAAATATTTACTGAGCGCTTACGTCTCCGGCACAGTGTTGGGCCGGCGCTGGGTCACAAACCCTGATCAAGTTTTGAGGAGAAGGGCACTTGACCCAACAAATCCACGAGGAGAAAACACAACGATGAACTTAATACTGAGGACAAAACGGCGCTTGAGCATTTAATTTTGTAAGAAGTTCTTTCTAGTCCTGCTTTGAAGCGACTTTGTAGCGAACTCGCAGAAGGCGGCAGACAGCGCCGGGGCCAAAAGGTGCCTTCTGTCTGGAAACGCGCCAGGCCCGCGAGCTCGGCCAAAGGTGAGCGCCGCGGGGAGAGGGCGCCACGGCGGCTCGGGCCCCAAGCACCTGGCGGCCAACCAGGCAGGCGCCACCGCGCGGGCTGAGGACCCGGGGCCAGGCTCCCGAGAAGCCGGAGCTGCGCCGCTCGCCACGCCAAACGCCCTGCGGCCACGGCTCCGCCGGCACCGCTCGAGGTGGGGCGGCCAGCTCCGGCCTCAGGCTTCCCGGGGCGTGCGCCGGCCAAGCTGCACTCCCGCCCGTCCCGCTCCAGTCCCCAAACCTTCCCCTCCCCGGCCCGCCTCCCCTCATTACCCCTGCGGCCACCACGGCCAGCGACTCTCTTCAGGGTGCCAGCGGTGCGGGGCCAGAGCCGGGAAACCCTGGAGCCCGGCTCGAGGAGGGGCGAGGCGAGCGCGCTAGGCCCGCTCCCAGCGCTGGACGCAGGAGGGCGGTGCTGCCGGGACCGGGACAGTCCGCCTGGACTTCGGCCCCAGACCCAGGACACCCGCCGGGACGGCATTCGCCCCACCCGGGCCGGTCGCCGCGGCCCCGCCCCGGGGCTGGGCAGTGAGAAGGCGGGGCCTTCGAGCTTGGGGGCGGGGCGGTCGGAAACCACAAGTCCCGGCAGGTTGTGCGCTGAGGCCGAGGAGGCTGTCGGGAGAGTGGGTTTCTTTCGAGCCTCCCCGGCTTTGCTGGGGCTGCCATTGGCCTGGCGTCACTGCAGAACTGAGGTCGCCAGATGATGATGTTGTGAAGTCGGCCGGCTGTCCCTGCCACGCCCGGGCGGTTACTGGCAGCGGCGGCAGCTTTGGCTGCTGCTCTCAGGCTGCCGCCGCTCTAGAGCCTTCTCTCCGAAGGAGCGCTGGCGGACGACGGAGGACGCCGGGCCATTCGGGTGAGTAACCTTCCAGCGCACGACTCGAACTTGCCCTTGCCAACCCCTGAAGGCGGAGGAGGCTCCCCGCCCCGCGCTCCTCCGATCCCCGGAGGCCACGCGCCGACAGCAGACAGAGCCCGAGGCTGGGTACTGGAGGGCTGGATCTTCGCCTCGTCGTCAGAAGTGGGTTTCCCAAGTGTGGGTGCAAAGTGATGGGCGCTGGGCTCTGGCCTCGGGATTCACCCCAGCTGTACCTCTGAGAAGTGGCAGCCTCTCATCCTCTGCGGGACAGCATCCATCTGGAGCCCCATCTTTTAGGATGAGTGGCTTTAGTGTCTGGGCATTAATCCTTAAGCCTCGGTCGCCATCTGTAATGTAACCGGGAGGAGAGAGCTCTTTCTGTGTTGAATCGAGTTGGGCTTTCCTTGGAATTGATTTTGAGCCAGACACCACATATCTTTCAAAGGAAAAATGGTTGACTTTAGTTTGAAGCGTGAATAATGGATATTGGCAGATGTCCTTTATAGTACCAGCATAAAATAACCTCCTAAACAATTTAAACATTTTCTGGGTATAACAATAGAGGTAAACTTATTTGCTCATGCACCATTTACTTAAACCTGCTGTTTCTGCACCGGAAAAAAAAAAGTAACTTTTTACCGGAAATTCATCAAGCTGGAATGGACCATAGAAACAAAATGCAGTGAATTCTCCCAGTTCTTGTTCTATTTGCTTTTTCCCAGACTGAAATCTTTGCTGTTGAATTGGAAGTCTGAGCGACAGTGATCTCCAAATAGCATGTTAATGGTGGTGACGTGACACTTCAAAACAAATTGTGAAGGACTTCTGGTGGTGAGAAAGGGCAGCGATGAAAATATTTTATCATCGCAGCAGTTATTCCAGCTTCCTATTTTTAAAATCAAGTGATGTCCAATAAGTCAGCAAGCACATACTATGTGAAAGGCAGTGTTTTGTTATCTTGCAGACTTTTATTCATATAATGGAAGAGGTCAGAAAGAACCCACATTTGAATATTTGCAATCTGCTAGGCATTCCAGCTCTACATACATTAGCCTCACTTAATCTCTTTAGCAAACCTGTTGCAGTAACCTGAGGCTTATGTAACAAGTGGGAATTTAAATCTAGATCTGCCTTGCTTCCAAGTTATAGGTCAGGTAACATACTTGCTTCAGAAATTACAGATGTTGAGGGTCGAATGGTTAAAAAGGCTTTGGCAGTGTTACTTCTGAAGACTGGTTCCAACACACTTTGAGCATGTAGAATAAGTCCTGAACCCCTGCTTTAGTGCTTTTGAACCAGTTGTTCTCTCTACAGTTCTCATCCCTCACAGAGCTGCTCAGCAAGACCTTAAAAGCCCATTCCAAAATCCATCTCAGTTTACTTATGTAAGAAATGATACGATTGGACTTTCATCACAAGAGTCTTTTCCAGTTCACAGATTTTGTGAGTCTGCAGTTGAAAATATGATGAGCCAATGATTGTTATTCTATACTGCAAATGGTTAACATCTATATTCACAAAGTAGAAAAACTAGTTTCTTAAAAATTTTAGTTCAGTGACCAAAATATGTTAAACATCAATATAAGGAATGAGACAGATGATAATACATTATCCATGTTTATTTTGAGCTCTGATTACATCATCTGTACCAGTTTTTGAACCTTTTTAGTTACCATCCTGGTTAGTTGGTAAATAATCTGAGACATTAAGGTAATAGTTACATTTAAATGACTTAGTAATTAAAGGAACTAAATTATTCATGCTTTACAGTCATATCTGTTCAGACCTGCAGTTTTCTTATAATAGAATACATTTATATAATACCGTGTTCTAGGTACTCATCTAAATGTTTTGCCTATGTTAACTTATCCTCACAACACTATGAGGTGTTTTTATAGATAGGCAATTAAAGCAAAGAGAGGGTAGTAAACATACTCAAGGTCATTTAGCTACTAAGTGGGTAGAACTGGATATCAAACTAGGCAAGATCAGAATCTTCACCCTTCACCCAATTTATTGAGCACCTGCTGTCTACCAATCCCACAACTGGGGGCTTTTATTATAATTAGGTCATTTATCTTTGTCATTTAACTGTCTTGTTTAGAATGGAAGTTCAGCGTTTAGTGTCCAGTCACAAGATAAGTAAATGGTGGAGCCAGGATTTGAACCCTGCTTATCTTACTTCAAGGTGTATGTTCTTTCCTTCACTTCCCCTCAATAATCAAATCTTTATTAAATACCTTCTGTGGGCCAAACACTGTGTGCTAATGCTAGGGATATAGTCTTTGCTCTAAGGAATACAGTCTGAAGAGGGAAAGGGACAATTCTGATGGTATGTTGAGCAATAGGATAGCAGCATGCAGAGAGCAGTGTAGAAGTATTGTAGGAGCACAGAGAAAGGGCACTGAGATCAGCCTGGAGTGGAAAGGCTTGGGCCAGTCTTGGAAAAACAAATGGGAATTAGCCTGAGCAGAGAAAAGGGGAAGGAGTTGTTATGGACTGAATTGTGTCTTCCTAAAATTCTTATGTTGAATCCCTAACTCCCATAACCTCAGAATGTGACTGTCTTTAGAAATAGGACTTTGGGGGTTATTAAGTTGAGACCATTAGGGTGGGCCCTAATCCAGTCTGACAGGTGTCCTTGTAAGAAGAGGAAATTTGGACACAAGGAGAGTCACCAGAGATGCACATACAGAGGAAAGAACATGTGAGGATTTATCAAGGAGGCCAAGGAGAAAGGCCTAGGAGAAACTAAACCTGCTAACACCTTCATCTTGGACTTCTAGCCTCCAGAATTGTAAGAAAATAAAATTCTGTTGTTTAAGCCACCCAGTCTGTGTTATTTTGTATGGAAGCCTTAGTAAACTTATAAGCAGCTATTCTAGGCAAAAGGAATGACATACAAAAAGCCTTTCAGCTGTGGCAGGTGATTTAGGTTTCATGGAGAGAAGTGTTGCAGAATGAAGCTGGAGACTAGGCTGAGGCCAAATTAGGAAGATTTTATATGAATGCTAAGGGTTTTAAACTTTATCCTGGCTGGACGAGGTGGCTCATGCCTGTAAACAGTCCAAGCACTCTGGGAGGCCAAGGCGGGAGGGGAGGATCGCTTGAGGTCAGTAGTTTGAGACTAGCCAGAGCAAGAGCAAGATCCCATCTCTACTAAAAATAGAAAAAATTAGCTGGGCGTGGTAGTGCTCACCAGTAGTACGAGCTGCTCTGGAGACTGAGGCAGGAGGATTTCTTGAGCCCAGGAGTTTGAGGTTGCTGTGAGCTAGGCTGACACCACGGCGTTCTAGCCCTGGGAACAGAGTGAGACTCTTGTCTCAAAAAATAAATAAATAAAATAAACTTTATCCTAAGGAAGCTGGAATGGAACAGGTTTGTAGTAGTGGAAAAACATTAGATTTGCATTTTAGAAAGACTATGCTGAGACTTGTGGAGGGTAGATTAAAGGCAAGGAGACCAATTAGGTGGCTGTTTAGGAAGCTGAACTAAAGATTTTCTCACAATATTGAAATGTCAAACTAAAACAGAACCATTGTTAAGATCAGGAAGACTATAAAGGGCACAGCTAATCCTTAGGGCATACATAAGAAGATTTAGGAAAAAAATTGTATATGGCTGTTCATACCTAAAGACTAGCTTTGCTTTTGACATTTTGCTTTTCCTTACATAGATCATAAAGCTTTACACAGCTATCATAGAATATTCAGTATTTTTCCACTCTAAAGAGTGATTTTATGTATTTAATAGATACTTTCATGGTGCTTACACTGTTTTAAACCAAATTTGACAATCTTAGAAATGCCTACTGTTATCTCCATATTATACATAAAGAAACTGAAGCACAGAGAGGTTAAGTAACTTGTCCAAGGTCATATAGGTAATAAACAGCAGAGTTAAGATTCGAACTCAGCTTGTCTTCAAGGTCTGTGTTCTTAGCCATATACTATGCTGTTGCCATATTGTTATTTATCAAGATATTTACTTGTGAAAAGAAGGTCGAGGAGTCCAAAAATAAATTGAAAGTGTTTGCTGTAAGGGGTATATAGGTCATCAGAGGAACAACTATAATATAAAATTTAAAAAAGGTGTTTTAGAGAAAAGTAGAAAATGTTGGGAAGCAATATTTACTTCCAGTCAGTGCTTCTGGAAGGCTTGGTGGGAAAAGTGGCAGGAAAACTTATAGCTGTTTTTCCTCAATCTACATTTTACATAAAATAAGAAGCATCAATAATGTAGATATCCCCGTGTAGGTGGAAGAATGTCTGATCCTATCTTTGTCCTGCACTTGTGAACATAAACTTGCAATACATTTAGTGTAGAATCAGAATGGACTTATAGTTTTAGGAGCTAGAAGTAGCCTGCTTACCTAAGGTTACAGTTTGCATTTCTTTACTTGAGGGAGTCCTCTAGGGACTTTCCTAAATCAGTGGTCTGTGGGGCCAGTCCTTTCTAAGTGCCTTTACTTATCTTTTGCATAAGGAGTTGGGGGTAGGGGGTGCTGAAATTTTTATTTTCCTTTACACCCCTCTTCTCACCTACACAAATCTTTTCAAACTTAAGAAGCCCATTTTAATCTTACCTCCTTTGCGAAGCCAAGCCACTTAAGCTAGAAAAGCATTCTCCTCCCAATGACTGTCTATATAGGACAGTTCTGTTGTAGTACTCGTTAAATATTTATTATCTAGTGGTATCTTAGTTTCTTAGATTTCTTAGCTCATTAGATATTATATCTAATCTAGATCGTGGAGATCATTACATCCTTTTGGATCTTAGATTGTCTTAAATCTTTAACCTCCCTTTGGGCAAGAGATGTTTGTATACTACTGTTTATCTTTAGTATTTTTAATTCTAGTAGCATTTATTGAAAACTAATAAACAGCTGACTGACCAGTTAATTGAGGTCATTTTATTGACACCTCTTTTATAACTGGCTGCTTAATATGTAATGTTCTGACTGTATTCCTACCTTTACTACTAACTCACATAACCTT